TTGGTCTTTTTCCTTTTTTGACATCATGGACACGGCGTTGTCATTTTATTTTCAACTTATCAGTTTTAAGATCCCTTTAGTATCTTTCTTCTCTCTATTACTGTCTTGTAATGGAATTCTATGCGACTGTCATACAAGTGAGAGCGTTAGCTAGCTATAATTCACCATTTTCTACATAAGGAAATGCCTGTACCAAGTCAGGAATATGACAGTTGTTTTCTATTCGTTAGATGTGTTTGGGCTTTTGATTTTGCCATTTTATAAAGGACTTTCCGTTTTGAATTTCCCTTGGAGTTCGGTTTTTTTGTTATTTTACTTTGTACCGTTAAGTGGTATCTGAAAATGAAAAAAGAACATGTAATTCATATAATTTATTATTTCATAAACAGATTATTTTTCAGGAAATTAGAAAATGAATTTGGTTTTATATTCTTTTAAAGCAATAACAAAACATCGTAAAAACTGAATAATTGTTTCTCTATTATATTTCTCATCGTTAGTACCTCTGACAATTTAACAGATTGTTTCATTCTGCTTCAATGCAAACAAATTTTCAATCAATATAATAACAAGGAAGTTGAGTGATTGCCAATGAAACAATTTTCCACCAGCTTTGTCTACTGATACAATCTTCTTTTAAATCAAAGTAATTAAAATTTCCCTCGCATTTCCGATGATTCATTGTTAAGTTCTGTTGTTATGCTCTAGAGCACGTAATGAATTAGATATTAAAATCAAACAAAACGTTAAACATATAGTTTTTTTTTCCCTGCCTTGTATAACGTCATGTTGTTATATCCTGTTACTATGTAAACAGTTTCAAAAGTAACCACAAAAAATGCTCCCATATATATTATGATAAAACAAACTGGCTTATTAAAATTGATTCAGAACAAGATCACAAATGCACATTTAAAGTTTCAAATGATAGTTTTACTCTGGGAGCAGCCACATTTCGAAATATTCACGTTTTAAATGCTGGACACAATATTTCATTACATTTGTACATTGATAATATTTACAAAGAAAACTTAGGAGTTTTGCAGAATGTAATCAGTGTTCTTATTTCCAAACTGGACTTTGATAAACAATATTATTGTTTTAAGAAAAGGATGTTAGCACTAGGATACTACAACATTACAAGATGACTTTAACCGCTTATCAAATAATTGAAATTTGATAGAATACCTAGAAATGAATTGGGTAAGATATGGATTTTTTGTCGATAAAGACAAGTATTTATTGGACATGTATATTGTCGGATGTGCTATAACTTATGTATCTATGCTACTTAACAGCTGTGTGTTTTGTATATTGTTTCGAAGAAACTTACTGTCCCCTTCTACGATACTTATGCAAGGCCTAGCCTTAGCGGATTTCCTTACAGCCATGTTTACCTATGGTCTTGAACCTTTGTTTCAGTCACAATATGATTGCAGCTTCCATAGCGATGATAATGCATACTTGTGTTATTTACCATACCCATACTGTCTCATTGCAACACATTTGTCATTGTTGTCGTTGACATTCCACACTTTATCCGTCATTCTCACAACGTGTCTCGGCATACAGAAAGTTGTAGCAATCAAGTTTCCTATTTGGACTAAAGTTCATCTGACAAACAAAAAATCCACTGTCTGCTGTTTTATGTGTTTCTTGTTTTCCATGACTATTAGTTTGCCACGACATTTTGTTTTTGATATCATAAATTACGAGTCTGCATGTTCCGTTAATCTGGAAGCATCACTCGTGTTACAATATTCCTCATTTTATTATTTTCTAATTCAAATGGTGCTGATTGTATGTTGTTGCGTTGTTATGCTGCTGTGTACAGTTTTTATCACCTACAAATTAGTGACTAATAAACTTCGGACCCAAATGACGGAACAGAGGAAACGGGAAAGAAGATCCGTGATAATGGTTGTAATAATCCTCTTGGTATTCCTTATATCAGAAGTTCCTAAAGTGATTTTGTATGTCTGGTTTTTTGTTGAGTATTCTAATGCTGATAATGGGATAAAAAGTTTCTTTTTAGGCGATTTGCTTATAAGATATGAAAAAGGAATGGCGTGGATGATGGCTTTATTGAATAGCGGCTGGGACAAATTAGCAAGCGCAAATATTCTTTTCTCATTTTTGATGGAAAGTATGAAATTTTTAAACCTGATTGGATGTCTTTCTAACTTTGTTATTTATGTTATAATGAGCAGTAAGATGCGAATCGAAATAAGTTCCCTCTTCAAAAAGCCCGTTATTCGTTCAAGCTAGAGCATATCGTTGAGATACATTCGTGATTATTTGCAGAAGTTCAATTAAGGAATAATTTGACTGGTTAATTAAAAATTAGAAATTATTTACATGCAACAGGTCGTCAGCTAACATGAATTTTTAAGAATTTGCGATTTGAAAATCGGTAAACTACCGACGTATATAGATTCGACGTGTGAGAATGGGTTACTCTCTTATGTTTTATAATCATGCAATTTTGATTTTATCCTGAACGTGCATTTATGTCACTTAGATTAATCAATTGAAAAGTTAATCATGCGTTTCTTTTTTCATTTATTGTAGACTATTCTTATATTAACACTACATAACTGACAAATCCATGACAATGCTTTCTCTTGTTTCAATAAACCAAGTGTAGTATCAAAGCTTTACATAAAATTCAAATTCAAAAACAAGTCAAAACTAAAGTACCTAATAAGGTATTATTTTATCAAAGTACCAGTGTACAAATATTTTTCGTGTATGCATTTCATCAATGTCATTTGGTCTTTCATCTGTAGTTGTCTCATTGTCAATCATACCATGTCTCTTTATTGTTATAGTATAATTGTCCATTAGTCCAGTAGCCAAATATGTTAACTTGCTTTTCCAGAACATCATATTCATAAGGTAGAAAAAGATAAATTACAATTGTTTCTTTATGTGTTTATATGTATTACAATTAAACATATTTCAAAGGAAGGTATTTAAGTTTTATTATAGTTCATATTGCAACATGGAAGCAACAGTCAACAGGATGAACGTGAAAAAGATGAAATAGATACTCCAAATGGGCGAATCAGGCTGGGACGTCGATGATACAAATAAGAACTACACCACTGAATGGTTTCATAAACCATCATAGTATTCCTCTCTTAGAAAACTCAAATGTTGCTAAACTCCTGTCCTAACTCTTTTTAAAAATGTGATGTTGTCCTTTCAAACAAAACCCCATAATCATATGGTATGTTTGTAGATCACATTATCGACATTAACCCATAAGGAAATCTAAACAACAATAGGTCTGTGTCATGGTCATTGGGCATTTCAGCCAAAGGTTAAAAACTGGATCTTCTCTCAACTTTGTGAATTTGAAAAATTAGTGTTTTTATAAACGTCATGTATTACTGTGTTTTCCAAATACTCCACACAACCTTTTTCGAAATTATAAGTTATTCAAAGTGACTATGTGACTTCAAACTCTAGGGGCTGTCTGAAAAAAAGATCTACAAATCAGATTTTGATACTAAATAACAAAGGAAAGGTGTAAGTTGAAGTTCACTTCAGTTTTCTGTCCTGTTGCTTAATTCAAAGTTTGTTTACTATGTTGAACACATCTATCCAACTTGAATTAAACGATTTAACAGATACAGTTAAGTATGCCTCATGACTTGACTGCACCGTTATATTTATTAAGAAGAACGACTGAAATCGATACTGCATAAGTGTTACGGTCACGATCACGAAATGGTTGACAAATACGGAAAGTCTCTGTATCAAATAATTACAAACATGTTTTCAGGTCTTAGATATTCAGATACCAGAATAGTCGACTAATTTGTGACTGTACAGAATTTATCCTCGTAAAGTTTTGCCTGAGTGTGAATTCGCATGGCGAAGGATGCATGTAAAGCATGAGAAACACCCTCGGTCTCGCTCCTTTTGGTGGTCACCAAATTCCCCATGTTTCTGTATGTTACCTTGTTACCAAACACAAACCGAGAAAAACGCATGAACCCTTAAAGGAGCGAGAACACATGCGTCAGCAGGATAAACGTCTCCTCCTTTGTATGCATCACCCATCGTACGAATCGACACCACTCAAATGTCATACATATGTCGGTTAAAAGCCAGTTAATTAATAAGATATGAATGGTACTCCAGCTCTTCCAACACTTTACAGAATAAAATCTATCTAAACTGTTGGGGTAAATTCAGTAAAAAATCTCCCATTGACTGTAATGCTAATCTATGTCTTGAATTAAATTTATACCTGATTTACCTTTAGAAATTAGAAAATTTCATATATCATTCATGAAAGTACAAATGTAGCCCTATCATTTGCAACAATAAAAACATAGGGTCATGCGGCATTTTTGGGCATTCACATGGCCTTGTTTACAAACACTGTAGATTCGCACTTAATTCCTTCACTGACCCCCATTACTTTTCAACCCTGTAGTAAAAAAATTTAGTACATTCAGCATTTATTTTTTATTTTTTTTCAACTCTAGTTTTTATCCATCTATCAAAAAATATTTATTACAAACATTATCTACCAATCAGAAGAGCACATGACTTCAGTTTTATACAGAAAGCTCTCCCCCAAATGGGCGGTCACTGATGAGGTATATTTATTTACTGAATTTACCCCTATAAGGGACTTTTTAGTAGCTTTTCCCTCTTTTTTTGTAATAATCATGTAATGTATCCAATTTTAAAGTTCCAGTTTCAATACAACATTCATAAATGCTGAACTTGTAAAGATAGAGGAAAATTTATACTACAGCCCATACTGCGGCCAATGTATATTTGGTATATAAAGTTGCATATTGACTGTTTGTAAAAGAATGGTGTAAAATACTATGCTTAATAAATATGAATTGTTTTCTGCGTTTGCTTTGACCAGTATTGCAAGTACATCTAGAAACTAAAGTCTTGATGTACTCTTAGTTAAATTTTGCCTTATATGGAAGTTTTTGATTAAATACCCTGAAAAGACCACAAAAACACTTTTCAAAGGCTTTTTTAAGCAGTTTCATACAAAAAAAACCAACAATTATGTTTCATTTTACTAAATTTGTGTTTTAATTACTTGTAAAGTTCACAAAATGTCATTGACAATCACTCTGCAGAAATTCCTGTTACCCCAACATCAGGATGGTTTCTTCACCAAAACTAGACAGACAAAACTGAAGTAGAAAAAAGTGCCAAATATGAAAAAATAAGACTGGGTATGACCAAACTTTGCATTTGGAAGATTAAAGTAACAATATAGAATATTTAAAAGCAATTATTTAACATAGTAATCCAATTAAAAACATTTCAACACTAGTTTCATAGATGATGGGCATGTAATCATAAAAGTTATCTACAATTTTTTTTAAATAAAGAAACGCAATGCGTTATGTAAAAATAAATGAATATCTTCATGCGGTCAGATTATTCAAGTGTTAAAATACTTGAAAAGTGCTTATTTACAACTTGTTCTACAACTTAACATGGTGAAACACAGCTAAAAAAAATACACTGTCAAAGGGAGGTAATTCTGATTTTCCATATGATTTTACACATAATGAGGAGAAATATGTGCAAAATGTGTTGTAAAATGGGGGGAATATTTATGCCTTTCATTGATATCATAACTCTCAAGTGTAATTTCTATTGTTTCTTTCAATCTGGACACAAAAACTGATTTTTACCATATACCCCATGCTTCCTCTCACAGTACACTCAGTGCATCTTGGATAGCCGAGTTAAACATAGAAATTTGTGTAAAAAACAACTTCAAATGGTTCCAAAATGCTTCCATTACATTAATATACACAGGAAATAAGTTTTGTGATTATTGTGTGGCCTTGGACAAGTACAGTGACAGAATGCATATTTTCCTATAGGGGTAAATTCAGTAAAAAATCTCCCATTGACTGTAATGCTAATCTATGTCTTGAATTAAATTTATACCTGATTTACCTTTAGAAATTAGAAAATTTCATATATCATTCATGAAAGTACAAATGTAGCCCTATCATTTGCAACAATAAAAACATAGGGTCATGCGGCATTTTTGGGCATTCACATGGCCTTGTTTACAAACACTGTAGATTCGCACTTAATTCCTTCACTGACCCCCATTACTTTTCAACCCTGTAGTAAAAAAATTTAGTAAATTCAGCATTTATTTTTTATTTTTTTTCAACTCTAGTTTTTATCCATCTATCAAAAAATATTTATTACAAACATTATCTACCAATCAGAAGAGCACATGACTTCAGTTTTATACAGAAAGCTCTCCCCCAAATGGGCGGTCCCTGATGACGTATATTTATTTACTGAATTTACCCCTGTAACACTATGTTTGTTATCTCCCTTTTCACATAATTGTATTACTTTAGTTTATTGTGGTCGAGATAGACAAAAATATCAGATGGTGGTCACGATTGTCGATGATTTATCTATGGTGGTCAGGATATACAAAACCATTAGATGGTGGTAAAGATAGCCAATGACATAAGATGGTGATCACGATACTCAATGATATCACATGGAGGCCACTACAGTCAATGATACAAGATGTAGGTAACTATAGTCAGTGATATCAGATGGTGATCACGATAGCCAATGGTTTCAAATGGGCATTTAAATAAGATTTGAATCGCGATATACAATTTTATCAGATGATGATCACGATAGACAATGACAGGATTGGATCACAAAAGTCAATGATATAAGCTGACAGTCAAGACGAAAAACGAAATTAAATGATGAACACGAAATCAATGATATTATTATTTTGTAAAATCTAACTAATTTGATTCATTCAAAATTATTCATTTGTTAAACTGTTTTTTTAAAGGTAACACGAAAACTGAAAACGGCGTGATATTGCACAGTTAGTTTAAAAAAATGAAATCTAAAAGCATCAAGCCTTTGTGACACAATCATAACAAACAATCATATGAATTTTTGCTCTTTTTCGGGCGTATTAAATATAATAATATATCAATCGTAGCCTTTGTATTAGGTCGATACAAGGATATATCGATCTAGAAAGTATATAAGATTGTTAAGATAAGTTTCAGATGTTGGCCACAATAGTCAATGATATAATATGACAGACACTATAGTCAATTGATATATGGCGGTCACGATAGTCAATGATATAAGATGGTGGTCACGATAGATAATTATATAGGTTGATGAACACCGTTTATTAATACAATAGATTACGATTCGAGTTATTAAATGTCCATTCAATCAGTTTACCTCATTAATTTGTAATCTAATTAAGTAGAAAAATGGTAACTTTCAACAGAGTTGACTACATGATCAATAATACTGATCTTGAAACTTCGTATTAATATGTTCGAATGGTAATTAATTTCATCGTAAGGGGAAAGTTCTGCTAAATAATTCCAATTAAGAAAGGTGATAAATGGAATCCCTCCCTCACACGTGTTAGACATGAGAGAAGTCACATGAATTGATATCCCTAAGATTATAAAGAACTTAAAAAGACTTCCCTTTTTTCTAGGGTAATTTCATTTTTCGTAACCCCGACTACTGTTTCAGTTGCCTTTTAGTAATCCTAAAATGTCAAACATATGTTTTCTCTGAACAAGAATAAAACTAAATCAGAATATCTAACGCAAAAATATAATCTATAGCAGAATTTTTTTTTTTTAGAAATCTACATGAATTTCTGCAACAGAAGAAGTTCAATTTAATCAAAATTAAATAGTCAATCATGTTCCATTGCAAATAATGAGTATTGCTACTGGGAAAAAGTAAAATATCAAAAATACCGAACTCCAACGAAAATTCAAATCGGAAAGTCCCTTTTCAAATGGCAAAATCAAAAGCTCAAACACATCAAACGAATGGAAAACAACTGTCATATTCCTGACTTGGTACAGAAATTTCCTTATGTAGAAAATGGTGGATAAAACCTGGTTTTATAGCTAGCTAAAACCTCTCACTTGTATGACAGTCGCATAAAATTCCATCATTGGGAATGGAGGTAATATAGATCGATTAGATCACATTTGTCGTTAAATATAAAATGAGTAAATGTGATATAATGGCCAATAAGACAATTATCCACTAGAGTTGAAATGACGTGGATGTAAGCAACTATTGATCACACTATTGTCTTGATAAAACATCCTTCCAAATAATTTACACATTTAATTATTTACAATATAACGGTATTTAGCATGGGTTTAATGTTAAATCACACATTAACCTTTAATGAGCTAGATTGTTCTGAAGGTCCCGAATTGCGTTATACTCTTCTAAGTCAAAACACCTTTTCGTAATACGCCATTAACTGTCTTTGATATCGATAAATGTTGTTTAATCATCTTCTTTAGTATAATTTAGATTTTAATAATAATAAGAAAAAGAATTTTCAAATATGAACAGACGAGTTTTGCCTGTTTGAATTGTTTTGTAATGTATGCCAAAAAAAATGCTACATAATGAACTGGATCTGTATATTCTTCCGAAGCACCTAAGATCAGTCCCGGTGTTGGTGGGGTTCATGTTACTAAGTCTATAGTTTTCTATATTGTGTTTTGTCGACTGTTGCTTGTCTTTTGATCGATTTTCGTGTTTTGCCATGGCTCTGTCAGATATTCTTTGAATGTCCTTTTTATACATTCCGCCTCTTTTTCAACAACATATGTATTTGAAAGATCACTTAGGTACAATGTATCTACTAAGATTTCAATCACTTAGAACTGAAAGGTCCAATTTTATTTCTGGTATATCATCTAAATTTACTAATTCTAAATCTTTAGATGACAAATCAAAATGTATATGGTTGATATCAAATGAAGACTTTATAGTTAACATTATAGTTATCAAATGATTAAATACTTTAATTAAGACCAGAAAAGCCCAGTTAATTGATAAGATGTGAATGGTCCTGCAGCTTTTCCAGAAAAAAATCTATCAAAACTGTCCGCGCAGTGTTCCTTGTCAACTTTTTCATATATTTGTATAACTATAGTTTATTGTGGTTCTCAAATCAAACGAAATCATCACAACCATGTGAAGACTTTGATTATACTTAATTACTCTGCTCCTTTGGGACGTTAAAATGACAAGTTCCGCTATCGTATAATGAGGCAGTTTTAAGGGTATTTAAACAATAGATTATATCCACATCACAAAAACAAACATAATACAGCATATCTGATTTATAACACGAGAACAGGTATTATATATAAAATGATGTGAGGCTGGGCAATATGGAGTCCGTTTTTTATCTGACTTTTACATGAATATACTTTTTTGAATATTCTCGAATTTATATAAGTACGACTCTTTAATTCTGGACTACATGTTTTTACATTCCATTAGTTTCTTTGCCAAGTGATTAAACCTAATGATGTTCATGACAGTCAGTGATACAAAGGGTGGTCACAATAGTCAATGATATATTGGTCATGACTGTCAAATTGTGATCACAATAATCATTGATATCATATGCCAATCGTTATAGTCAATGATATTAGATTGTGATCACGATAGTCAGTAATATCAGATGCCAGTCAGGATAGACAATGATATCAGTTGGTGATAACGATCGAAAATGATTTCAGATAGTGGTAATGAAAGTCAATGACTTCAGATGGTGGTCACAATAGTCAATGACTAAAGATGCTAGACAATGATATCAGTTGGTGGTCACGATAGTCAATCAAATCATATTATGGTCACGATAGTCAGTGATATCAGATTCTAGTCACGATAGTCAATATTATCGGTAGGTGATCATGATAATCAATTTAATATGGTGATCAAATATACAATAATATAAGATGGTTGTAAGGAAAGACAATGATATCAGATTGTGGTAACGATAGTCAATGATATAACATGATGATCACTATAACCAATGAAATACGATGGCGGTAACGATAGCCATTGGTATCAGATAGTTGCCACGATTGCCAATGATATCAGATGATGGTAACGATAGCTAATGATATCAGATGGTGGTCACAATATCCAATGCTTTCAGATTGAGATCATGAAAGTCGATGATATAATATGATGATCACAATATACAATGATGTAAAACGACAGCCAATGATATCATATGGTGGTAATGATAGCCAATAATACCAGATGCTGGTCCAGATAGCCAACGCTGTCATTGTAATCACGATAGGCAATGATATACTATGTTGATCGCAATATGTTAATCATAAATTGTGTTTTCTTTACGATTACCAAATACTTTTGTTTGAACTGGTTTGGCTTTTAATAATATTTCAATAGGTGTTTCTTAAATTATTGATTAGTTTATTGTTTACATAATTAGTACATGTAGTAATGAGCTATTAATTATAGTATTAAACTCCTTCGACAATTATCTAGTCCAAGATAGTAATGATCAGAGTTTGAAGGCCATCAGACACCGACCCACAATACGTAAAATGGGTATAATTTTGTGTTTTCCACCGAATACCAAGGTTGATATGATTTGCTATGCAGCATCACCTTTGATTCCTAATGTGCCCCATATAATGGAATAACAATTATTGGTACCAGGTTTTTGCACGCAAAGGAACGTACACGTTTCAGACGTTATTTTTTCGAATATATTAAGTTTTAACTTGATTAAAGATTTGTGTTTTGATTTAATTACCTCTTTGACTTTAAGATTGGGTAAATATTTATTCCACATTCCGTAGAAGGCTGATGGCATCAAAAAATTTTCTGATCTTTCCTTCATATCTTCTGTATATCTTATATAAATCATGCACTGTCGTGTCCGATAAGGTAGTAAGAGTGTATTACAGTCGGGCATCCTGTCAACGTCATATGTAGCTAGACTCAAGCTATCAGCAACTCGCTAGCAGCCACTCCGCTAGCAGCCAGTTTCAGATATGTCTATAAACCCAAAAGTTGCATAAGATTCAAACTTACTAAAACGTTTTTATCTTAAATTACCACTACAATATCTGTTTAAACTTCAATTTAGCCGTCGAAAACACTATTCAATGAATTTTGAAATTTCATTTCCTGTTTAATATTTTAAAAACAAAAGTATGTGCTTTTAACATCGTGCAGCACGTTCTGCACGCTTTAAGACTTCACTTCAACTGTCAACACTGAAAAAATGACATTATTTAAATGTTGGCCAAATTTTCTTGGTACATGGTATCGACTTT